TTGATGAGAAAAAATTTCTATTAGAACTTATTCATACTCTTAAATATATTATATTAACTACTTCACTTAAATCAGATTATATAATAGATATCAGTCAGAATAACAGTTGAGAATTCATAATACTACTTGTCTTAATTTATACAGATGAAACCTTGCTTTTAACTACTCTTATTAATACAGTCTTACACATCTTCATGTAAGAGGCCTACGCTGAATAGATCAGTATGATATTGATAGATCTTATATAACAAAGAGAAAAATGTTAGAGAAGAAAAGAAAAGAGAAAGTGCAAGAATTAGCAATTAAAGTGAATATTTATACACATATGTGATGGCTGAGAATCAGTGATTGAGAATGGCTGAGAATCAGAGCATACATATTTGTAACAGCTGAGAATTAATAATTGAGAATGACTGAGAATCAGAGTGTACATATTCAAGAATAAAGCAGTTAAAATCTGTGAAGTGTAACAGAATAGTCTATATAATTGATCAGATGCAGCCTGTCACATTAGTCCTCTTCTTTCAGAAGCAGTTCTCATTAGTTAAGAGCTGCTGTTTCAGATAATATGAAACTCAGAGTTCAAATCAGTTGATTATAGCTGACTCATTTCACAAGATATTATCAGCTACAGCTTTGAGATCTCTTATTAAGAATATTCTCAATCTCTCACTCAAGCTCATTATCTTCTTCTATGATGTCTGGTGACTGCTAGTTGAAAGTCAGTTAAGAAGAGAACAGATCAGTGACAGCATGACAGATCAAGCTTGTATGAAAGACATTATAAATCTCTGATAGTATGTTAAGACAGTAGTTATAACTATCTTGAACTTCTATCACTTTATATCTGATATGACAGTAATCTAGTGTATGAGATGAACATGTGATTCATATATTCTTGAGATTCAATTATACAAGATCTTCTATCTTATACTACTCTACAGAATCTTGTCAGATATTGATTTGATCTTCTTAATCTTGTTTTATAATTATTATGAAGACCTCTACTCAGTTACAGACATCTCAGAGCTTTATTACTATATTATCAGTGATTTGAATCAGTCTGTGAGAGTTCAGTGTGAACTGTGTAATCTCTAGAAGATTCAATACTTTTATATAATATCTATGTGTAAGAAAGAACAGACTTATATCTGTTAAAATAACATCTCAACTGTTAATAGTGATCTCTACATATAGAAGAAGATTATATTAATTATCTTATAAGTAATTACAGAACTTATAAAGATAATTCTTTACAGTCTGAATTATTCATTCTAATATACTATCAGTCTCAGAGTAATAGACAGTTGACAGATAGTATATAATCTTAAGAACTTAACAGATTCTTGTTCAGAGAGTGCTTATAAATTAGTGACTCTGATCTGATACTATTAATCTCAGTAACTTATATATCTGATAGAATAAACTCTGTAAGAAGACTTCAGTGACTTATTCAGTATTCATCTTATTATAAAATTTCAATATTATATCTTTACTTAGTCAGTTAATAATGATTAAAATATTTCTACAATCTTTACTCTCAGATAAATTAATAGTGAAGTTAATTATCACATCTCATCAGATTTTATTAGAGATATTAAGTGATTTCAGTAGATCTTTTCTACAGTTCTTTCATAAGATAATAGAAGAATAGCAGTTACAGTTTCAGACAAAGTATCTGATACTGTTTAATATCTTAGATTAATAGAACTCTCAGAAGATCATTCTATACAGTTATTCACAGTCTGAATAATCAGTTATATATGAATCATGCATCTTTTACATTATCTGAGTATATAAGAATTCAGAGTGAGAGACTTAGCATCATTTACAGAATTATAGAGTATTATTATCATTGATTGAATATTCTGAGATGTCAGTTCTTACATGTAGTTCTGAGAGAAATCAGAGTACTTCTTATTATACTGCTTCAGTGAGTGCTTAGAGAAGTTCATTAGTTTAAGCTGCTGTATACTATAGCTCATCTAATATAGGTTCAGAAGAATTTAAGATATCAGTGATAGTTCTAACTGAAGAAGTATGTATAGTTCTAATCAGAGAAGTATATATAGTGCTATGAGCTGTTTCATCTTGATTAACTAGTATCTTCAGATTCAAGAGTCAGTGCTCTCAATTCATTCAGTGAGTATCTGTTACATCAGATAACATATCTTACTCTCATTGTAAGAGAGCATCTATTATCAAGTTCTGACTGCTAGAATGATAGTGTATTGTAAAATGAAAGCAGCTTAAGAACTCAGATTATTATATCTATTATTCAGTGAGTTTACAGATAGTTATAAAGTATTTAAGATTCTTATGATCTGTGATTATCTCAAATTCAGAGATACTTCAGAGTTCAGAGTTTCATTCTTTTAAATAGTGTATAATTGTGAGAAGTTTCTTATCATAGATCTCATAATTGTACTCAGTGAGACTTAGTTTCTTAGATATGAAGATACATGATTGTAGAACATCTTTATTATTATATTATAATATCACTTCTTCTATTACATAGTCAGAGAAATCAGTCTCAATAACTGTCTCATGATCAGAATTGAATATTATTAACAGAGAGATATTAATAAATATCTTCTTCATCTGTATAAATGCAGCTTTGATGTTCACTGATTATTGAAATACTGAGTCTTTCTTAGTAAGTTCTGTAAGTGATCTTATAATATCTGAGAAGTTTTGTATAAATTACTGATAGAAGTTAGCAAATCTGATAAAGCTTTATATATCTTTCATAGTGCACAGAGTCTCTCATTCAAGAATAGCAGAGATCTTCTCAGAATTCATTCAGATCTTCTTGCCAGCTTCTATGATGAAATCTAAGTATTTAGTACTCTTGACTTCGAAATCACACTTGTTAATATCAATTGATAGTCTCACTTCTCATAGTCATTGTAATACTTCTTGTACATACTCTTGATGTTTCTTTCTGAATTCATCAGTGAAGATGAGAATATTATCTAGATAAGCAGATACAAATTTATCAAGAAAGTCTCAGAGTGCTCAGTTAATATACTTCTGAAATGTACTGAGAGCATTGATCAGTTCAAAGAGTGTGACTACTTATTCAAAGAGATTATATCATGTGCAGAATGCTGTAAGTCACTCATCTTCTTCAGTGATACAGATCTTATAAAACACAGCAATGACATCTAACTTTGTAAATCATTGAGCTTGTTCAATGCAAGCTAGAGTTTCATTGATAAGAGATAAAGAATAATGATCTTTCTTTATTAATCTGTTCAATTCTTAATAATTCACACAGAACTGAAGTTCTTCACCTGATTTCTTTGCAAAGAGAATAGAGGCTGTAGTGAAAGAGTTACTAATATGTATGAATTCTTTATTCAACAGATCATTGAGTGTCTTTCAAAGAAGAAGAAGTTCATCTCAGAACATGTTATAAAGAGAGTCTTATAACAGTTTAAAATTCTTATCATTCTTTTTCTCTAACTTGATACTGTGATTCACTTCAGAATCTTGTAAGAAGAGTATATTTATAATATTATCTTGTTAGAAGATATCTAGATATTCATGATATTATTAAGAGAGTTTCATACAAGAATCTGTTATTATAATATAAGATAACCTTTTCAGAGTCTTTTTAATATCAGTCAGACTGATGAAATAGATTGATATATAATTCTGCTATCAGTGAACTTATCAGTGACTCTGTCAGTGATTTTGATGATAACTTCTTTTTCAGAGTATTTCATAAGTGTTGACAGAGATCTGTGTAAGATTTATAGTCTTATGAATATCATCTTCATGAATTCTATCATTATTAGAAAATATCAAGCTTCTGTTTCAAGCATTCAGTAAGATGCCTTGTTCAGATAGTCAGGCAAGTTCTAATATAAGATTATAATCAAGATTATCAACTTCATATATATAGACATCTTTATATTGATATTCTCTCACATTTATATTTAGTTTTATCATGTAACAGATACAAATATCTTTCAGATTATTAAATTCTGTAAGAAGTCAGAGTTTTGATAAAGAGATACACTGAAGATTATACCATCTTACAACTGAAGATTTTATCATTGTATAGTAATATAGATTGCTGTCTATCATAGCTTTCATATTATATATATTATCAATCACAGTAGATACAAGAATTATATTCATTATTATTTTCTCTTCAAATTATTGTCATCTGACCTCTTCAAGCTTCTGTTTATGAAGTTGAACAGAAGTTAATCTTTTCTCTGTTTTATTGAGACATTCTCATAGTTATCTTCTGAATCTTCCTCTAATACAATATGATTGATGTGAACAGACACTGATTCATTCTTCAAATGAGAAGGCACTGATCTTTCTCTTAAGTGTGAATACACATAGATTAATCAGCAGTTGAAAGAAATGTGTTCTGATCAGTTATAGTTGATACACACTTCATGTTGACATTAATCAGTGACTTCTTTAAAAGTAATCTCAGAGACTTGAAAGCCTGTTCAGACAGCAGAGACTCTTGCTTATGCATAGACATTTAAGTCTATTCAGTTCATAGTATCTGCATCATTGTTGTTATTCTTCAGTGTAGATATATGAGTGACTGAGATGTAACATCTTCTGCCACTGTTCTGTATACTCTTGAGCTTGATAAGACAGTTATTCAATGTTCAGAGCTGTATGCAGAAGCCTTCATAAGTTGAGTCTTCATTTACACTTATAAGAGTCTGTAAGAGTTTGAAAGTTAATGTCTTCTTGAGCATGTTAATCTTCAGTCAATTCTCTCAAGATTGATCACCTGCTTCTAAGATCTTGATATCAAAGTCAGAGATGAATGTTATAAGAGAAATGTTTCTCTGTCAGATGCTCTGTAATCAATCTAATATCTTCAATTACATGACAGTGTCTCAGAACAGAACATTAAGATGTTTCATGATATTATCAGATATTCACAACACTGATTCACATGCTTTTATTCATGAGTGAAACTTCTATTTCATGTGATTCTTCAATTGTTCATTGATATATCAATCTTGATTGATTAATGAACTGATGACATCTTCATCTACACTCAGTTTTGCAAGCATTTTCATTCTCCATGATGAGTAGAGAGTGAGATCAGAAGTATTGAAATATGTGAAGGCATCTAAGCATTCTTTCAGTGCTTTTGTAGATGCTGAAGTTGCATGGGTTAATTGTTGAATTTCTTCATATTGAAGCTGTTGAGTGATATGTATGCCAGCTATCTGTTATTATTATAGTGTTAACATTGCTCAGAGTCACTGTGATATCATATCTATACTCACGCTCGAGAGTTCTCTCATATTATTGTTAGACATGATTATATTATTTATCAGATATGTGATATCTGTGAAATCTGAAGAAGTGTAATTATATGAATATCTCATACATCTGAGTGTCAGAACTTTCAGATCTTTTGCTGATATTCTCTTATAAGATTTTACTCTCTTCATAAGATCTTATTGCAGGGCCAGAGTGACTGGTGAGTAAGCTTCTATCTAAGAACTCAGTGTCTGCTTTAACTGATTGTTTCTCTTTCTTATATGTTATTACATGTTCAGATATCTCTCAATGAATAATTGTTTTTAATGAGGAGATGATGTATGAATAATCATTTCTAATAAGAAGATGATGAACATTTTTCTAATGTATGAGACCTACACTGAATAGATCAGTATGATATTGATAGGTCTTATATAACAAAGAGAAAAACATTAGAGAAGAAAAGAAAAGAGAAAGTGCAAGAATCAGTTATTAAAGTGGATATTTATATGTGTATGTAATGGCTGAGAATCAGTGATTGAGAATGACCGAGAATCAGAGCATACAGGTTCGTGGCAGCTGAGAATTAGTGATTGAGAATGTGTAAGAAATCCCGCTTCTTGCGGATCCTTTACCCCTATTCCTATATCTTGTGTAACCAATAGGGTTAGCGGCCTTTGGCTACACACAACTATATAGACTGGAGTTCATGAATACTATTCATAACTCAGCTTGAATACTATTATACATTTAATCTCTACATTTATCTTTCTACTGTGAATACTTCTAGTAGTTAACAGTACATATTATGTCAAGCTGCAAACACCTGAATAATCACCTGTGAGCACTTATTCTTATATTTCAAGCTTAGTCAGTCAGCAACTGTCTGTTATGACTAAAAGAACTAGAAACTTACATACTTTAATCTCTGTGAACTCTACTGCAGACACTCAGAAGCAGTTATCTGAATCATGAATAATTCTCATAAAAGAAGTCTCAGAGAACATATCAATCACTTGTAAGACATCATTCTCTGCATCTATGACAGAGGAATTCTTCAAATTCATAAATAAATCAATCTTAGTGAAGAACATTCTTGAGCATCTTCTATGAAATCAAGCTATTTTTCTATAAGACATGCTTACTGTTTATAAACACTCTTAAACTGAGTCTCTAGACATGATCTTCAGAGACATCTGTGAACTGAAAAGAAACTTTCTTAAGTTATAATCACTTAAGATCACTTATTAAATTACAATCTATAAAAGCTTTTATAAGTTTGTATTTGAAATTGACTTACAAGCCTGACTGTGTGATATAAAAGATAAAGAAGCTGTCATCTATATAATGACAGATCTCTATTACACTAAAGTCAAGAACTGGCTGAATCATTTAGAGAATGATTATAAGAGATTTCACTAGTCTGTTCTCAAGACCTATCTAGAGAATAAGTTGAGAGACTTTATAAGTCAGATAGAGAATATCTGAGCTGTGATTATTAATATTAGAAAAAGAGGTAAGAAATCTGATGAAGATTACTCATAGTATCTTATAAAATTATAATATGAATTAGAGTCTGTGAAAACAGAGCTCTGAAACAAGATCTGAATAATGATATTTATAAAGAAGCTGAATAAAAATATATAGAATAAGCTCATTGAGTAATACTCTAAGCTCTTAACTCTGAAAAAACTGATGACTCTCATTCATCACTTATAAATCACTGTGAGAGTCATAGATCTGTAGAGAGTGAATCACTGACTAACTCTATAAGAGCTAGAATAACAGAGAACAGATTTGTCAGAAAAAGATGATAAGATACAGAGAGATTTATATCTGACTGCTGAGCAGAGAGAGAGAGCTTCATAAGCTTCTGTAAATAGAGTATATAATAGAGAGATTAAGAAAAAGAAACTCTGCTTTATCTATTTTAAATCAGAACATCTTCATGCAAACTGTCTGAATAAATTAAAATAGAAATTTGAGAAGTTGCAGACAGAGTTAGTAACAGTCTTTTTAAGAGTCTTGAAACTGATATCTGAATCTGTTACTCTCTTAATGAAAATACTTGCTTGTGAGAAGAGACTGTGCTGTAGTACTGCTGTCTCACAAGTATAAAAAGTATTAATAAACTCAGAATCTCAGGTCACTGTAGTGTCTCTAAAGCTTATAGAGTAAATGAGCTAAATAATGAAAACTGAGAATCTGCTCTTATAATAAGCAGAGCATGAGAACTCAGATCTGAGAACTGAGAAACTTATAAGAGTTATCTTTTAATTACAAGATCTCTCTGAAACCTGAAGAAGATTTACAGAAACTGTGATTATTACAGACATCATAGATAATATATACTTGAGACTTATATAACTTTAAAGACACAATCTGTACATAGCTGTCTATGAGTTAGATTTATACTTTCAATCAGTGTTAACAGACTTACTTACAGAGATAGAATCAGTTAATGCTGTAAAGTTGATTAGAGAAGACAAGCTCATCTATATAATGACTTTATAAGTGTCTGAGAATCTCACAGTCATAAAAACTGAGCTTCAGATATCAGAGAAATACTGAGATCTCACAGAGATATTCAGTTCAGCAAAGACAGCTGAGCTTTCTTCTCACTATGAGAAGAATCTGATAATAGATTTAATAGAAGAATAGAAACTCTTCTGAGAATCAATCTATAAGCTCTCTCATTATAAGACAGAGATCTTACAGATTTATATAGAGAAGAATCTAAAGAATGACTTTATTTAATCTTCACAGATCTTTACAGAAGCCTCTGTAATATTTATAAAGAAGAAGAATAAAGATCTCAGATTATATATAGACTACTGCAATCTGAACTTTAAGATAATAAAGAGTTACTACTCTCTATCTCTAATTGAGAATGTAATTAACTGTCTTACAGAAGCTGTTATATTCATATAACTGAATATAATCAATGTATATACATGACTGTGAATACAGTCTGAGAATGAATAAAAGACTGTCTTTAGAACTGTACTGAGATTATTTGAATATCTAGTGATATCTTTTAGTCTGACTAATATTCTCATGATATTTCAGTCTTTTATTAATAAAACACTTTATATATATCTGAATGTCTTTATAATAATATATCTGAATGATGTGATAATATACTCTGTAAAGAAGAAAGAACACACTGAGTATATTCAAAGTATATTAAAGATCTTAGATGAGATAGAACTGTATATTAAGCTTACAAAGTACAACTTCAGTGTCTGTTAGATTAATTTTCTAGAATATATAATTACTGCAGATAATATTCAGATGAAATCTTTATAAATTGAGACTATTTTATCATAACTGAAGCTAACTAGTATTTATAAGATTCAGATCTTTCTGAGCTTTATGAATTTCTATAGACAGTTTATCTTTATATTTATAAGAATCTTCTTGACTCTTACAGACATACTGAAGAGTGAAAATAAGAAGAAGTCATCTCATAAATAGAGAATGAAAAGATTATTAAGAAGAGAGAACTGTAAGAACTTTCTTATCTCAGAAGCTTATGAGATCTTTGTAAGATTAAAACAGATATTTATAGATATAGTGATACTGTTTCACTTTGATCTCTTACTCTTAACTAGATTAAAGATAGATATCTTCTTCTTTATGATTTCAGAAATAGTCTTATAACTATAGTTAAATAAGAACTGAGTTTTAGTAATCTTTTTCTTATAGAAGATATAACTTATGAAGATTAACTATAATATTTATAATCAGAAGCTTCTTATAATAGTGAAATTCTTTCATTATTAATATCACTACTTTGAGAGTCTTATAAGAGTGATTACTGTTAAAACTGATTATAATAGCTTATAATAGTTTACTTTAATCAAGAAACTCTTACAATAGCAGATTCACTGAGCTCAGAGACTGAGTGAGTTCTGATTTAAGATAGAATATATCAAGAGAACTAAGAACTCAGCAGACAGATTCTCTCACAGATCAGACTATATTAAGAAGATCAGCATGATAGATATAGAGAGATTAGAGAAGATAGAAAAGCTTCACAGAATGTTCAGACTGAGTGTTGCAAAGAGATTAACTGAAGAGTCTCTCAATTCTCTGTGAGAGAAGAGAAAAAAGAGAGAAGAGAAGCTTGTATAACTACTCTTTATAACACTGAGAGTCAACACTCTGAGAATCTCTGTAAGAATTCTTGAAGAGAGTATCTATAATCTGAAGAGTTTGTAAATTTTAAGAAGCACTGTAGAAGATCTGATGTAAGAAGAAACAGAGTATAAGTCTTTATAAGATCTTTTATTCAGATTGTCTGAACTACAACTGAAGAATGAATATACTCAGTATATTCAGAAACTACTCATAACAGAGATCAATTCTACAGAAATAAAGAATTGAAGAGACTTAAATAACCTCTTGTAAAGAGAGAACTGAATTTATATACTTATGAATGAGTTTCTATATATAGAACTTATTAAAAGGTATTATGACTCTTCTCTAGTGAATTATTTTACAGATACTAGAACTCATGAGTTGCTTATAAAGAAATACTTCTGACTGAAGATGTGAGAACTTATAAAGAAGATAGTGAATTCTTATATTATTTATCAGGATTTGTGAGTAGTACAGGTCAGATTATATGAAGAACTTATTTCTCTATTTATCTCATAGAAACCTTGAAAACAGCTAGAAATGAATACTCTTATAAGTCTCTCTGAAAGTAAGAACACATATGATGTCTGCTTTGACAGTGTGCTGATAATAGTGAATTACTTTATCAAGATAACACACTTTATATTCATCTGTAAGAACTTGAAGTCAAAGAATTTGACTTATATCTTTATTCATAATATGATTCAGTTATATGAATTATCTGTGAATATTGTCTCAGATAGAGAATCAATCTTTATAGAAGAATTCTGATCTAATCTGATAACTATACTGAAGATTTTATGAGATCTAAGTACAGCTTTTTATCAACAGACAGATGATTAGATAGAATATCTAATAAGTATATTGAAACAGTATCTGCAGTGCTTTGTTAATTATAATCAGAATGACTGAG